AATAAATAAATAAATAAATAAATAAATAAATAAATAAATAAATAAATATAAATTTTTTTTTTTTTCTCCCCCTCTCGTGTGGCTAAACTTTGATGGCTGTAACAGTAGAAACTTGGCCGCGACATTCAAAACATAGTTTTTAAATTAACGTAAATGTGATTGTTCACGGTGATGATTCCGCATGTCGGAATAATTTTTAGGGACTGTTTATGTATCACGGCAGGGGCGTGTCTGGGCAACTTGATTTATACATATAAACTTTATATACCGATTTTGAAATAAGCCGCAGAATAAAGTGCTTTTTGATGGAATGGGTCTGTTTTAAGTTTAAGATGATTTTTAGCTTAATTTTGTTTTATTTATGAATTTATTTTGTATTTGTATAATGAAATATGTATTCTTTCAAAATTTGTGGTTAAATAAACACAAAATAGGCCTATTTAAATTTGAACGCCCCTTAAGTCCCTCTCAAGTCCTTATAATATTATTTGGCACGCCTCCTACCTTTTTGCACCTCCCTCTCCCCCCTCATCATAAATAATGAACGGTCCCTTAGTGTAAGTGATCGCCATAGATATTCAAATGCTGTTAAATGTAAATCAGTTTCCACAGTGTGACTTGTTGTGTGACCTCTTAGAGCGACAAAATAAAAATTATTTGAGAGTAAACAGTTGTTTTATTCAGGAGTAAAATTGCTTTAAAGTTTATTAACGAATTAGTGGTGTCAGTTCACAGATGTGTGTACTCACTGATATTGATGAGTCATTTCAGGCAGCGTGGGAGCATTTCTCTTAAATCTGTGCTAAATCCCTGTGCTTACCTGTCGCCAAAATGTAGATTAACCTAACTCGCCTATGTCTGCACAGGACTACATACAAATAAATGTCTTAAATTTAGTTAAAATTCACCTTTTTAAAAAGCATTAAATGTAAGTGTGTGATACCTGCAGACGCTCTGGTGCTGTGTCTTCTAATAAAACTAAAACCAGGTCACATGGTGACGTGTGATCTGGGCCACTGAGCTCTGCAGACGAGCTCCAAAGGATATTTTATTCACACATGATGGATAAGTTACCAACTGATCTTTGTCTCCTCTCTCCGCAGCGTGAGTGTATTTCTATGCATGTCGGCCAGGCCGGAGCCCAGATGGGCAATGCATGCTGGGAGCTGTACTGCCTGGAGCATGGCATCCAGCCGGACGGGCAGATGCCCAGCGACAAGACCATAGGAGGAGGAGACGACTCCTTCAACACCTTCTTCAGTGAGACCGGAGCCGGCAAACATGTTCCCAGAGCCGTGTTCGTGGATCTGGAGCCGACAGTCATCGGTGAGAGAAACAGATTTTAATATCCAGAGAACAAACTTCTGCAGATCATTAGTTTTATTCAACCTGTGGTGCTTGTTGCTCCTCAGATGAGGTCCGCACAGGAACCTACCGCCAGCTCTTCCACCCCGAGCAGCTGATCACAGGCAAGGAGGACGCAGCCAACAACTACGCCCGCGGTCACTACACAGTCGGCAAGGAGATCATCGACCTGGTCCTGGACCGAACCCGCAAACTGGTGAGCTCTGACCCTCGACGCATTTTATATTTAGATTCTTTGTTGATCCGTGACGCCATTTTGAACACGTGTTTGTGTTCCTGCAGGCCGACCAGTGCACGGGGCTCCAGGGTTTCCTCATCTTCCATTCCTTCGGAGGAGGAACCGGCTCTGGTTTCACCTCCTTGCTGATGGAGCGTCTCTCTGTCGACTACGGCAAGAAGTCCAAGCTGGAGTTTGCGGTTTACCCCGCCCCCCAGGTGTCCACCGCTGTGGTGGAGCCGTACAACTCCATCCTGACCACCCACACCACCCTGGAGCACTCCGACTGCGCCTTCATGGTGGACAACGAGGCCATCTACGACATCTGCCGCAGGAACCTGGACATCGAGCGCCCCACCTACACCAACCTCAACAGGCTGATCGGACAGATCGTCTCCTCCATCACTGCCTCCCTGCGCTTCGACGGTGCCTTGAACGTTGACCTGACGGAGTTCCAGACCAACCTGGTGCCCTACCCTCGTATCCACTTCCCTCTGGCCACCTACGCCCCAGTGATCTCCGCAGAGAAGGCCTATCATGAGCAGCTGTCAGTAGCAGAAATCACCAACGCCTGCTTAGAACCAGCCAATCAGATGGTGAAATGCGACCCCCGCCACGGCAAGTACATGGCCTGCTGACTGATATAACGTGGAGACGTGGTGCCCAAAGACGTGAACTCAGCAATCGCCACCATCAAAACCAAACGCACCATCCAGTTTGTGGACTGGTGTCCCACAGGCTTCAAGGTGGGCATCAACTACCAGCCTCCCACTGTGGTTCCTGGAGGAGACCTGGCCAAGGTGCAGAGAGCCGTGTGCATGCTGAGCAACACCACCGCCATCGCCGAGGCCTGGGCGCGACTTGACCACAAGTTCGACCTGATGTACGCCAAGAGGGCCTTCGTCCACTGGTAAGTCGGAGAGGGGATGGAGGAGGGAGAGTTCTCAGAGGCCAGAGAGGACATGGCTGCCCTGGAGAAGGATTACGAGGAGGTGGGCACCGACAGCGTCGGGGAGGAGGACGAAGGCGAGGAGTATTAGGTCATCTGTCACTTCCTGTGTCGTCCAAATGAGAATCATTTTAAAACAAGCAAACCAATAAAGAAACTTAAACTTATTGATTTGTCCTGTGGTTGATTCAAACAGCAGCAGCAGAGTTCATGAATGATTTGGGTCCTCAGAGTGAAACTCACATCCTGACATGTCTTAAACCGCCAAGTACGAACACCTCTGACCTCTGAGAATTGTCGATCAATTATCCTCAAAACATGCAGTCAGTTAAACGGTAACTTGCGTGAATCAAACGTAAAGACGAGGTTAGACACACTCACAAAATCAAATTTAAAACCAGCAATGACTCAAATTATTTCACGTAGTCCGATCTGAATTCAAAATGGCCGCCTGGTCTGTGTGTTAGCATCTCGTCAGTGTGAGCAGACTCAGCCTCGTGTGTTTGGGATTAACAGTCTTAATCTGCTGAGAGGAGCCGATTTATCGTTTCTGAGGTGATAGTGAGTTAATCCTGGAGCAGCAGCAGCAGCTCAGGCGGTGAGATGTTTCTGGGGGTGAATCCACTGAGAGCAGAGTGTTGTGCCTCTGGGTTAGGACGATTCACACAGAATGAGACGGCACAAAGATCAGTTCTGTCCGTGTGGGGAGAACTATGGCAAGCCATTTAAGTCAATTTTAAATAAATGAGGCAAATACATTATCATACATAAACAAGTCAATATAGTGCAATAAATAAATATGGCTGTAAAAAACTTGATTTGAACAAATGAGGCAAAAAAATACGTAAATATTTATGTCTATGGAATTAATATTGAAATAAATATTTGATAAATACATAAATTGGCTGTAAATTTAACCCTGGAATAAATAAATGAGGCAATAAATATATAAATAAGTCTAGATATACTTATAAAAAATAGTCAGTGTAGATCAATAATTAAATTAATAAATATGGCTAAAAATAAACTGAAATAAATATATATTAATATAGAAATTAAAATGAGTAAGTATAGTTCAATAAATATATTAATAAATATGGCTATGAAATCAATATTGAAATAAATGAGGCGATAAATTTATTTAAAAAAGTATATATTATATAGGCATATAGTCCAAAAATGAGATGAATATGACTACAAACAAACCCTGAAAGAAAATAATGAGGCAATAAATATAGATAAATAAAAATAGAGTCAGTGTAGTGCAACAAATCAATAAAAACTATGGCTAAAAAAATAAACCCTGAAATAAATATAAAAAAAAATGTAAACATAGATATAACAGTGAGTCAGTATAGAGCAGTAAATAAATAAAACACATTTCTATTTAACAAAAGGAAGACTTTTATTAATTTCAGGGGACTTTTTAGATTATAATTTATTATTTATATTGTTTTATTTATTTATATATTTATTGCCTCATTTATCTATTTCAGGATTTATTTCACGGCTGTATTTATTTTGTATTGACTTAAATGGTCTTCCATAGACGCATCACCACTTAAGATCCACTTATCCCAGTGGTGGAGTTTATAAATATAAATATAAATAAAGAATAAAACCAGAAGCTGACGTGACATGTTGGATGTCAAAGGACAGAAAGTCACAGAAGTCATGAGCGATTGCAGCACTTGAACACGAAAAGATTTATTTAGGTCTCACAGATACAAAATAGCTTTTCTTGATATCAGCGTTTCTTTTTTTATTTCTTTTTCTGACTTGCATGAGGTAAACAACGATACATCCAGTGATCTGATGGCACACACAGAGAGGAGGACGCCATGTTGGTATGTTGTGCGTGAGGAGAGGAGGGGGAGCTACAGACCGAGCAGGCAAACATCCACAGCTCATCTTCATCATCATCAGGGGTCATCTTCTTCTTCAGATCTGCTCTGATCAGTGAAGCTTCTTGGAGCCTTGTGGTGCCTTCAAATACACTTTTTAAAATAATTCAGCAGCACGAGCTCAACAAACTTCACCACATGTGAAATAAAATTAAAGTTTTTGCTTCAGTTTAAATCAGAGCTTCAGATCTGATGTTTAAAGATGCTTCAGAGGATGCGTTCAGGGCAACAGTTTAATATATGAATTAAAATAAACCCTCTGCAGTCTCTCTGTTCATCTGCAACTCCACTGAACATCTTTTATTTATAGTGACGTAACTTTATTTGTATGTCCTGTAGTGACAAAGTTTAACATTCAGAAATTAGCTTGGATGTTATGGAGGTAGATTAGTGTAAATATTATTCGTGCAAACACAACAACAATCTACGTGGAGATGTGTAATCTTCAAATGTAAAACAATATTTGTAAACTGACAAAATATTTAAGGAAATATAAAACCAACCTGCAAATACACAAATTCTGCAAAAAAAAAAAAAAACTGCCGATACATTACCAAAAAAAAGAGATGATAATATTGGAGAAAAGAAAAATATTTTGCAAATATATATTAGATCTGCAAATACACAAATTCTGCTCAAATAAAATAAAATAAAACAGAAAAATATGTAAAACGTGGAATTGTGTAATTTGCAAATTTGAAACTGATCTGCAAAAAGTTTGGGAAAAAATAGAATAAAATAAAAATGAAATAAAATAAAAAAAATCTGTTCATACATTACCAAAAAAACAATAACTATTGGAGAAAAAAAGAGTTGCAAATATGAAAGCGCCACAAAAAAATAAAATAATAATAATGAAAAAAAATATCTGCAAATTGCACAACATAAAAATCTGTGAATACATTGTGAAAAAAAGATAAAACAATATTAAAAAAAGAAAAAATAGTTTGCAAATTATAAACCAATCTGCAAATACACAAATTCATCAGATAAAATTTCTTGAAAAAATCTGTGACTACATTAAATTAATGACCAAACAAATGAAATTTTCTAAAAGAAAATTTTTAATAAAATTTAGAAATATCTTTCTAATGTTTTGAACATTCCAACAGATATTTGTGAATCTTAATTCTACGCTTGCAGATTTGCATTTTACTCACACTCAGGTTTTTGTTTGTTTGTTTGTGTATTTGCATTTCCTCACACAAACAACACTGGCACAGATCGACCTCCATTTTTGTGTATTTGCAGCTCGGTTTCATGTCTGTAAAATATTTTTGTGACTTTACAAATCTTTTTTTAATTACAGATACACATTAACACACGGATTATCAGTACTGACACAAATCAGCCTCCATATAAACTGCAAACCTTCCTGGTTTAATTCTAAATCAGATGAGCTGTGAATGCAACACTTGGTACCGTCTGAACGTCCATGGACGCATCACACCTGTGGCACAAACACTTAAACATCAGACCCCAGCCTGACCTTACAGTCGTCTGTTGTTTTTCAATTCTGTGACGTCTTTTATGTTTTAAGGACTCAGCCGAGAAGCACAGCGTCATTCTTCATCATCATCATCATCAGAGAGAGAGAAAAGGCAAAAGGTAAGACAGGAGGGAGGGGGAGGGGGAGGGGGAAGTCCGTCAGACAGGAGGCCGGTCCGGGTCGTACTGGTTTCACTGGGGCAGAGCTTTGAGGATGGCGTTGACCTCCTCGGCGACGGCGGTCAGGGCGAACTCAAACTGGTCCTGGAACAGAAACACGTGTGTTTGTCATGACGCCACTAACTGCTGTTTCTTATTCCCTCAGGGACGTTTCATGACCTTCACGCTCAGAGGGACTGACCTTGGTGCGGACCATCCCGGGCCTCTGGTCTCGGACGTGCTCCAGCGTCGCAGCGATGTCAATCTCTTTCACACCTGCAAGAGAACAGGTAACACACACGCACACACACAGTCACTGCACCTGTGACATCCACAGCATCCATCGCTGCGTTTCCTGCCGGGATAGTGGCGCAAAAAACATTTTTTACCAAGATGTCACTGCGTTTCATGTCAGGAAAGTGGGGCGCAAAAAGCGGTGTTTTTTTACTGATCCAACATTTCTTGCAGGGATGGTGGTGCAAAAAGTGGTCGCCTTGTAACCATGACGTCACGTAATTTCCTGCCAGGATAATAGCGCAAAAAGCGGTTGTTTTTTACTGAGACATCGCTACGTTTCTTGCCAGGCTAGTGGTGCAAAATTCAGTTGTTGTTTTTTACCAAGACATTGCTGCACTTTCTGCCTGGATGGTGGCGCAAAAGTGGTTGTTTTTTTTACTGAAACATCGCTACATTTCCTGGCAGGATAGTGGCGCAAAAAGCAGTTGTTTTTTACCAAGATGTCGTTGCGTTTTCTGCTGGGATAATGGTGCAAAAAGCATTGTTTTTTTGCCCAGATCCACTGCACTTTCTGCCTGGATAGTGGTGCAAAAAGCAGTTGCTTTTCATCAAGACATCGCTGCATTTGGCGCAAAACCAGGTGTTTTTACCAAGACATTGCTACGTTTTCTACCGGGACAGTGGCCCAATAAATATTTCTTCTGACCAGGATAATGGTGCAAAAGTGGTTGCCTTGTAACCATGACATCACCTAATTTCCTGCCAGGATAATGGCGCAAAAAGCAGTTGTTTTTTACCAAGATGTCGTTGCCTTTTCTGCTGGGATAATGGTGCAAAAAGCATTGTTTTTTTGCCCAGATCCACTGCACTTTCTGCCTGGATCGTGGTGCAAAAAGCGGTTGCTTTTCATCAAGACATCGCTGCATTTGGCCCAAAACCAGCTGTTTTTACCAAGACATTGCTACGTTTTCTACCGGGACAGTGGCCCAATAAATGTTTCTTCCGACCAGGATAATGGTGCAAAAAGTGGTCGTTTTCCCCCGAAGTATTGCTTTGTATTCTGCTGGAACAGTGGCGCAAAAAGCTGTTGTTCTTTACAGTGACATCACTGCGTTTGCTGCTGGGATAGAGGCACAAAAAGCCGTTGATTTTAGTGGTTGTTTTTATGCCTCTGGCCGCAGCTATCACCGGTGCAGAGGCTTAAAAACCTGGAAAATTGGGGTCCAGGTTAAAAAATATCGGAGTTCCCCTTTAACGCAGCGTCGTGGGGCGTCTTTAACACATAATCATCCCAAATCCAGATTCTGCAGACCAACATGTGACCCCTCACTGATGGTTCACATCTGTGTCGATAACAGCAGCTGTGTTTAAACTTAGAAACACACACACACACTCACACACAGGTGAGCCTCACCTTTAGCCATACGGTTGAGAACCATGTCGATGAGGATGTAAGTCCCAGTCCGGCCCGTCCCGTCACTATGGAAACACAGATGAACTTGAGTGAAAGGAATCAACAGCTCCTGCTGCTCTCTGTGCGCTGCCACAATGTTGCTGCCACCAGGTGGATCCATGCGGTACTACAACATGTTGGTCTAAATCAAACGTCTTTAAAAGTTTGTGTATTTGATTGTACCTGCAGTGCACGATGATGGGGCAGGACCGTCCTCTGTAGCACTTATTCACCTTCCTGAAGACAAAACAGACCAGAAGCAATATTAAACATATTATCTGCAGTGTGGATGTCAGAGACAGATTGATAGGGTATTGATAGACTGATAGATGAGGGGGGGGTGAGGAGGGGTATCGGCGATGGACCTCCTGCTGCAGCCACATCAGTCCATGATCATTTTTGTGACTATGCAACTGGACCCAGACCACTAGCTGCAAACCACAAGAATGACACAGACAGATATGTTCAAAATTAAATCAAGGGCCCCGCTGACCTCCATCGCACAGGGAGGAGAGGAGGAGGAGAGAGAAGAGGAGGAGGAGGAGTCACAATATTGTTTCTTCATCGTGTTACAGCTCGGGAAATTTAAAAAATGTTCTCAACACCAGTGTCAACATAATGATTTCCTCCTCTGGCCCTAGTTTAAAAAATATAATATTTTTTTTAATTTCGAATTTATTATTATTATTATTATTATTATTATTATTAGTTATTATTATTATTATGAACAACCAAAAAAAAAAAAAAAACGCTTCATTTTTCTCGCCCTCTGTCTGATGCTGACATTTAAAAATGTTTAACATTTTATCAACATTTCTTTGCCCCGTAAACTTCACTTATATTTATTGAACATTTTATTAATATTTTTCAGGCACTTGATTAACAGTTTTCTCAAAAACTTTAATTATAAGTTTTAGGACATTTTCTTAAAATACATACATATTTAAGACATATTTCAACATTTTTCAGACACTTTATTCACATTTTTGAAGATTTTAGCAACATTTTTTTGGACATTTTATCAAAAAAAGTTTGGACACCTAAATTATATTTTTCAGACACTTTATATATTTTTAAAAAATTTAATAATTTTTTTTTGACATTTTATCAACATTTCTTTGAAAGTTTTATTAATATTTTTTGGGCAATTATTAATATAATTATCCGATATAATAATTATTGATATTTTTCGGACATTTTTAAAATATTTTTCAGGTACTTTATTAACTTTTTTCCAAAAACTGTAATTATATGTTTTCAGACATTTTCTTAATTTTTTTTTTTTTTTTTGGGGGGGGGGACTTTTATCAACATTTTTTGGACATTTTATCAAAAAAAGTTTGGACACCTAATTTATATTTTTCAGACACTTTACATATATTTCTGAAAACTTAATTAATATTTTTCGTTCATTTGATCAACTTTTTCTCTGACATTTTATTCATAGTTTTTGGATGAATTGTCAACATTTTTTTCGGACACTTTAACAACTTTTTTTTTCTTAGAAAAATGTATTAATATTTCTCAGACATTTTATAAATAGTTTTAAGTCTAACGTGAGGGGCCTCTAGATCATGTGTGTGACTACGAGCTTTCCTGTTCAAACCAAAACTTCCTGGGGACAAGTTAATACACAGATACAGTTTATGTTATGGATTATACTGATGCTGAATTAACAAGAACACTGTCGACATGTGACGCCTTTAATCTGGTGTTTCTGGAGTTATGGAAAAGTTATAATATCATATGTCTTAAAGGGAGTTTGGTTTAATATTTTCCACCAGGAGCAGGATGGGAAATCGTCTCAGAGGGACTCTGGATGTAGTGTTGAAAGATCTCCAGTCCTCTAAAGTCCTCTGCTGTGTGTCTTTGTGTGTGTTCACTCAGGTAGCAGCGGTACCTGCGGAAGTCCAGCAGGGGGCGCGTGGAGGTGGGGATGCCCTGAGCCGGCCAGCTGAGGAAGTGGAACTGAGTGAGCGTCCTGGTCTCCTGCGTCTGCACGTTCTTCAGGTAGAAGCTTCGCACCAGGAAGTCGTTGCACCAGATGTGCTCTGACACCAGGTTCACCTGGCGAGCACAACACAGCTGGATCAGACATGTGCTCCCTCTCTGGGCCTCACACACACACACACACACTCACACACACACACACACACACACACACACTCACTGTGCCCTCACCTCATAGATGTGGTAGAGGGACGAGCCTTCATCAGGCCAGTAGCGGTCACACTGTTTCTCTCCATCCTCCACCAGAGCGCTCATCATCACGATCACAGTGCAGCCGTTCTCCCAAACCATCTGACAACACACACACACACACACACACACACAAGTTCAGCTAAGCTCTTTGGAACTTTGCAGAGTACAAGTAGAAATACTCGAGTAAAACACTGTAAAATCCTCCAAATTTAAATGAAAGCAGTTGCAACGCATTCTGTTTCTACTCAGTACAAATCACTGACATGTTTCTGACGTCACAATTCATAATTTATCTAGAAAATAAAATGTAAAAACAAAGATTTATAAAAGCGTCAAATAGAGCTTGTTCATAAAAAATGTCCCACGTGAGGACCCCCCCCCCCCCCCCCTTCAGAGGTCCAGGCTTTATATGATATTTTATAATTATTTTATCCGGACACTTTATTAATATTTATTTTATCAACATTTTTTCGGATATTTTATTAATATTTTTTTCTGACATTTTACCAACATTTTTTCATACATTATATTAACATTTTTTTCTGACATTTTATTAATATTTTTTCGTGAATTTTATCCACATTTTGTCAGACATTTTGTCAAAATTTTTCGGACATTATATTAATATTTTTTCAGTCATTTTATCAACATTTTTCGGGCATTTTATTAATATTTTTTGAACATTTTATTAACATTTTTTCTAACATTTTATCCACATTTTTTCATACATTGTATTAACATTTTTTCAGACATTTTATCAACATTTTTTCGGGCATTTTATTAATATTTTTCGGATGTTTTATTAATATTTTTCAGACATTTTATTAACATTTTTTTCTAACATTTTATCCACATTTTTTCATACATCATATTAACATTTTTTCGGACATTTTATCAACATTTTTTCATACATTATGTTAACTTTTTTTTTCCTGACCTTTTGTTAATATTTTTTCGTGAATTGTATCCACATTTTGTCAGACATTTTGTCAACATTTTTCGGACATTATATTAACATATTTAAAACATTTTATTAATATTTTTCAGACATTTTGATAATATTTTTTGGATATTACCAACATTTTTTTCAGGCACTTTATTAAAATGTTTTCCAAAAAAAGTCATTAATATTTTTCACACATTTCATAAACATTAATTTATGCGGAGCCCCCGGTGTCCTCAAATCCTAGAAGCACCCCTGACTTCTTTCGCCCATGGTGCCCTATTAAAACTTCGCTCGGGTCGGCGAACTGACCGGAAGACGCGTCTGCTCGCTATAGCGGAGCAGCTTCATGAGGAGGACAGACAGTCTGGGGACAGGAGGGGACAAAAGAGACACTGGAGCAGGACAGGGGGAGCAGGAGTCTCCATGAGGTCAGTCACAGGCTCAACGGAACAAACAAACAAACAAACAAACAAACAAACAAACACCGAGTCCGCCGCTAGTTCGCTCAGCTAAGCTAACATCGGTGCAGTTGGTACATTAGCAGCGACACGCCAAAGTCCGCCGGAAATACAAAGATTTGTAACATGAAGCTGCATTATTCGGTATTTTACCACTTTAAATGCCGGGTCTGTTTGTTTTGGGGAGGAAGACACCTTTGTGAATATTTCGGCTTTAGGTGAAAACCTTCTGAACGTCTCGATCTCATGTTATTAGAGAAATAATGTGACTACACATAAGCATGTGTGCAATAGCCGACTGCAGCGAAACCCCAAAGTCCGTCGGAAATACGCAGATTTATAACATTTAACTATTTTCTTCGGTGTTTTACCAGCTCAAACCACGGGGTCTATTTGTTTTGTGAAGCTAGAGACCTCTGTGGATAATTCGGCTAATGTTAGAAACCTCCTGAACATCTGAATCAGAAAAGACGAGCACACATAAGCTCATGAGAGAAAACGGGTGAGCCGCAGCAGCGTGTTGTGGGTGAGCCCCGAGCTGCCGAATAGCGCCGGAGAAACACTGATTTTAAGCGTGAACCTGATTTATTCAGTGTTTTAGTGATTCTTACCGCCTGGTCTGTTAACTTCAGAGAAGAAGAGACCTCTGTGGATAATTCGGCTCCCGATAAAAACTTCCTGAACAATAAACACTTAAGGAATTCAGCAGTTTTTAGCTGGTTGCAATCTGTAATTCAACCGCTAGACGGCACTAAATTCCGCTAACGTCACCTTCAGCAACACAATTACTGTTTCCTAAAAACACGTTCATACAAGCTGAAGTGTATTAAATATGTCTTCTTCTTCTTCACTTGGTTGTGCAGCAGCATCAGTTGTTTTGTTGGCTGGAAATTCTTAAAATTATTAATCATAGGTTTGATATAAAATGTCACTGTTCCTGTATTTTATTTTTTACAATTTAAAAATGTAATATTAATCCTAGATCAGTCAGATACTTTGATTACTCAGGTTAGTTCAGATTAAAAAATAATAATATTGACAAATAAAACATAAAACAAATGAAAAGTAAAGACAAGTAAAAATTGTTTTTTTTAATCATGATAAAATGGTTGACCTATCATGTAAAAAACAATATGTCAGAATATGAGGAAATAAAGTTAAATTTTTGTGCAAATAATCATTTTTTTCCTGTATATAATCCAGTTTATTTTCTTTAAATGTTTAAGTAACATTTCCTCTCTGAATGCCTTCAGTCTTTGAGTGTTTGTTGGTGGCTGGAATTGGATTGAGTTGGATGTTTGAAATGGACCAGCGGCTTCTTGAAGTTAATTTTAAAGCTCATTAAATATTAATAACATATATGAATATTTAATCATGCATTTATTTGTGACTGACTTTGTGTCAGCTGGAGCGCTGCAGCTGCAGGGTGAGCGCTCACTTTAGATACTCATCTTTATGAGAAAATGGGAATAAATAAATAAATAAATACAAAGATAAACAAATGTATGTTTAAATATACATGACAAGATAATTAAACACATAAATAAATACATAAAGGTTGGTAATGAAACAGATCTTAAATGAATATATGTCGGTGAACAGAAGCGCAGAAATAGATTTTGTTATCAGTTTATGTCCTGTTTAGTTAACAACCTTTATATATTTATGCATTTATTTATTTTTCGTATTTATTCTTCATAAGGAATTAATTTATTAATTCATAAATACAGAAATAAATAAATAACTAGGTAAATACAAAAATAAACAATTAATAAAATAGTGAAAAAAATGAATAAAGTGATTAAATATACAGATACATGTTGAAATAAATAAAACACATATAATATCAAAAACAATAATATATAAAAAATATAATACATAATGATTATTTATTTTTGTATTTATTTAATTCATGTATTTCTTAATGTATTGAAAGTTAAATCTTTCTTTAACGTCGCTGCCAACAAAACGCCGCTCAGCTCTCAGCACACGTTGCTTTACTTTCTCTCTGTGCTTTTTATTTTCCTTAGAAAAATAAAAGTCGACGTGTTTTAATTAAATCAGAATGAACCAATCAGCTCTAATCTCTCTCTTCTTCTCTCCCCAGATGAGAGCAGAGTTTATGGACTGAAACTGAGACCTTCTTCACTTCATCCACATCTTCATTCTTTCTGCTTTCTTACATGTCTCTTAGTGGTTCTGTGTCCTTTGATGTATTTATTCTTTTAGTTCCTTTGTTTGGTTTCTTTTTTTTATCTCTTATTTAGTTTATCTAAATTTAGTAATCTAGTAAGTAAGTAATTTACGCAATTATTTCTGTATGCATTTGCACATCAATTTCTGTATTTAAAAGAAACACAGAAAAAAATAGTGTAAATAAATGCAGGAGTAAACAAAAAAAGGTTAACAAAATTTTTGAAATTGTAAAAATAAATAAATAAATTATAGAAGAACAAAATTGACCTTACAGTCAAAAATGTACCCCCCCTTTTAAAAAAAAAAAAAAAAAAAAATTCACCCTACGGTCAAAAATGTGGCTCCCCCCCTCTTAAAAAAAACCCAAAATTTGTCTTAT